AAAATTCTGTTATAATTCCCGTTTTTAAATCTGGTTCCCACTCGGATATTCATAATTATTGCGGTATTCATAAAACGCCCTTTCTGACTAAACTCTTTGAAAAACTACTTACCAAAAAAATTGCAGATTTTTGCATTAGCAGTAAAATTCTCATTTCCTCACAATGCGGCTTTTACCGGCCCGATATCGTGAAACATTTCACTATTTTTCTAAATCTACTTACTTCTCTGTAATTATCATTTATCTGTGGTAGTTATATATTTTGGTCTTCGTAAAGTATTCGATAAAGTGTCTCATAGGCGGTTTTTAGCCAAACTAGAGCCTATGGGATTTTGCAGTCCTCTTACTGACTTTATCAGATCCTATCTATCTAATCGAACCCAAAAGGTCTTAGTGGGATTCTCATACTCTACTACTACCGCAATTTTGAGTGGTGTCCTTCAAGATACCGTGCTAGATCCTCTGTAGTTCCTACTTTACATAAATTATATTATATTTAAAGATAAGCACTCTCAATCTTTTATTTATGCGAATGATCTCAAGGGTATTTACTCCTCATCTAACTCTACGGCCGTGCGATGTTTAAAACAAATTCATTCGGATTCGGACGCTCTTTCTACGTGGAGCTCGATGTGGCAGATTGAGTTCTCAACTTCTAAGTGCCGATACATATGCTTTGGGTCTGAAAGGCTGCCACAACCTATTATTTTTCAAGGATGCCCAATGACTGAATGTTCCACCATCGAGGGCTTAGGTTTAAGCTACACCAATAAATTAGATATTTTGCCTCACGCCAATAGAATTACGGCCAAAGCAGCACAGATTTGCGGCCTTATTTCTTATGCTTTCTACCTTCCTGAAATGAAATTAACACCTTATCGTATTTTTGTGCTTCTCATTCTAGAATGCTTCTGTCCATTCTTCGGTCTGATGAACGAATCTGGCCGTTCAAAAATTGAAAATGTCTAAAGACATTTCACAAGAAAACCGCTTTATTCGACATTTTTAAAAATTTCCTACTCACATAGGTGCCAATTAACGAAACTAACATTTATTTGGGTCAGGAGATTGGAAGCAGGATTTTTCTCCTTTTCGCCTTAATACTAATACGAATCTCCCGAAGCTTTCTTTCATTATTCCCGTCAGTCGTTCCTACAGCCTAAGGAATTCCGCACTTATTATAACTCTTCCGCATCCTTCTTATCTAAACGCTCTTTTTTTCTTGCTTCCAGATATAGCTTCCTTTGGAATAACTTGCCAATTGAAATAAGTTCGTTAACTAGAGTATCTCCTTTCAAGCGAAGACTCCACAGTTATCTTACCACTGATTCTGTTAACCTTAGATTCTCACCACCTTTTCCGAGCAGCTTTCTCCATTAATCCGAGGAAGGACAATCGGGAATTTAGGAGATCCCCTTGAAACTATTTTTCTCTGCCTAGTGTCCCTCGGAAACCTTAATGTCTCCATAAACTACCTCTCATTCAAACGATGGAAGCCATATGGACGTACTCAGTCTAAACTGCTGCCATTTCATAATCATCATTCATCATAATTCATACTCCTATCCCTACTCCACACCTCTGCCCTATTTTCCTAAGCGGTTTTTCCCTCCTACACGCTTTTTGAAAATGGAGGCACGTTGAACTCTGCCTCAATTTTCATTGTAGGAGTTTTTTTTAACTGCCTATATTTATTTTTCAGTTCACTATAATTGCAAAACATCGCCAAATATTGCCCTAGAGGACAATTTCTGCTGACATTATTGCAAATTTGTACGTTTATCTGCGCACATTGTCAAATTCTTTTTTACGAAACTAATTTTGTACGGATACTGCCTTCCTGGCACTAACAAATATAAATTCCAAATGATAATTTCACCACCCCTTGGCTGCACATTTAACCGCTCTCGTTTTTTCTTCCAAATATGCTTTTATTTGGAACAATCTTCCATTCAAAATTAGGTTGTCTACTACATTACCAAATTCTTCAAAAGCAAATAACGTAAACATTTAAGAATTGGTTCCATCCAACAAACACGAAGAGTACGCTTCATTAACTGGTCGCAGAGTGTTAAGAGCCCTCCTAACGAGCTGCCCTGGCGAGCTCTCAGGTCACGATATCGGTCCGCCCACACACAAAAAGCCGCGCGCGCACGTGCGCGCCTTCAAGGAGCCGAGGTCGCACGAGGCTGCTAGGACAGGGATAAACCAATCAGATTGCCAATCGAGTCGCTAGTCGCACGGGGACCCAATCTATTTGGTCTGACCTTAGAACCTCCCTTGCTTAAATGCCCGTTCAAGGGACAAAATAAATAACTTCCTTTCCTAGCGACATCGCTCGTTATTCTCCTTGTTAGATTGAAAGAAAGCGTCCGGGCGGGGCTAAATAGTGCTTGAGGCAGCAATTTAACACAGGGATCTGACATTCGAAATGAAAATTTTCTCATCATCAGTGCAGCTAACTGCAGTC